CTGTGACAAAGAACTATTGGGCACAATGGGACCAGTTGAAGCTTGAAGATGTTATTCTTCTCCGAAGATGGGAAACTGCAAACGGTTATACCGAGAAAGTTACGGAAGTTGTGCTGCGTCAATCCCATGATAGTTTAACAGGAGGACATCTCGGAGTTAAGAAAACATTGAGTCACTTACGACAGAGATTCTATTGGATAGGTATGAGGCAAGATGTGGAAGAATGGTGCAGGACATGCAGTACATGTTGTGCTAAAAGGGGACCCAAGCATAAGGAACATGCTCCAATGAAGTTATATCAAGTTGGCGCACCAATGGAAAGAGTGGCCGTTGACATTGCTGGTCCTTTGCCCCAAACTCGTGCAGGAAACAAGTACATTTGTGTGGTGATGGATTATTTCACCAAGTGGCCTGAGGCATATGCAATACCAAATCAGGAAGCTACAACAGTAGCTCTGGCTATTAATGATTTCTTCTTCAGATTTGGTATGCTATACGAACTGCATTCAGACCAAGGCCGTAACTTCAAATCAGCTGTGTTCCATGAATGCTGCAGAACAACACTACTTGACCCACAGTCTAATGGGATGGTAGAAAAGTACAACTGGACACTGGGACAGGAATTGGCAAAGTTTTGTAATAGCCACCAAGATGACTGGGATGTCTTACTCCCTTCACTGTTGATGGCCTATAGGACAGCAGAGCATGAAGCCACTGGATACACTCCAGCAAAGTTGATGTTTGGTCGGGAACTTCGGTTGCCAGCGAATCTGATAACAGGACGCCCACCTTACGAAGAGTTGCTTGAAAATCTGTCAGAGTTCGTGAAAGTGTTATCTGAGAGGGTGGATGATATTCATCATGAAGTGCATTCAAATTTGAAAACGTCTGCTAATTCCATGAAGCTATGTTATGATAAGTGACCTACTGCAGTCAGCTTTGTATCAGGAGAGAAGGTGTGGTTGTATAATTCCAGGAAAACCAAAGAGAAGTCTCCTAAGTTGACTTCTCCATGGGAAGGCCCATATGACATAGTGGATCGTCTCTAAGATGTGAC